GCAAAAAGTAAAAAGCCGGAAATGGTGCTGTGGCTCAAGTGGTAGAGCGCTAGCCTTGAGCTGAAGAGCTGAGGGACAGCACCAGGCCCAGAGTTCAGGCCCCACGACCGGACCCAAAAAAAAAAAAAGCCCACAGTGTGTGGGTCCATGGACGCCAAAGATAGAAAGTGGATTGGGAGGTGGGGGGGCAGGCAGGACCTGAGGAGCTGCTAGAGGTGGGGCTTTCTTTTGGGGTGATAGAATGTTCTAGAAGTATAATGATGATGGCCGCACAGCCTTGTGAGCCACAGCTCCACTTCTGGCTTTTCTGGTGGTTAATGGGAGATAATGTTCTCTCAGACTTTCTTGCTTAGGCTGCTTTTGAGCTCTCAGCCTCTTGAGTAGCTAGGATTACAGGCATGAGCACTAGTGCCCAGGGGGATTGTGCTTATTTTTGGTTTGGTCGTGGGGCCTGGGTGCTGTGCTGTCCCTGAGCTCTTCAGCTCAAGGCTAGCGCTCTATCACTTGAGCCACAGCGCCATTTCCAGTTTTCTGGTGGTTAATTGGAGATAAGAGTCTCATGGAAAGCCGGGCGCTGGTGGCTCACGCCTGTAATCCTAGCTACTCAGGAGGCTGAGATCTGAGGATTGTGGTTCAAAGCCAGCCTGGGCAGGAAAGTCTGTGAGACTCATCTTCAATGAATCACCAGCCACTGGAAGTGGCGCTATAGCTCAAGTGGCAGAGCCCTTGCCTCGAGCTGAAGAGCTCAGGGACAGCGCCCAGGCCCAGAGTTCAAGCCCCATAGCCGACCAAAAAAAAAAAAAAAAAGTCTCATGGAAGGCTGGGAAAGTGGCTCAGTGCTTGCCTTGCATGCATGAGGTCCTGGGTTTGGTTCCTCAGCACCACATAAGCAGAAAAAGCTGGAGGTGGCACTATGCTCAAGTGATAGAGCACTAGCCTTGAGCGGAAGAGCTAAGGGACAGCGCCCAGGCCGAGGTCAGGCTCCACGACCCACCAAAAAAAAAAAAAAAAGTCTCATGGACTTTCCTGGCTGGGCTGGCTTTGAACCACAATCCTCTGATCTCAGCCCCGAGTAGCTAGGAGTATAGGTGTGACCCAACAGTGCCCGGCTGGATTGTGCATCTTAAAATGGCTGCAGTGGTCTAGGCTGTGTGTGTATGGCGGGGGAGGGGGGGGCAGTAGGAGTCCCAGTCAGAAAGCAGAAAGCTGAGGTGGGTGGCCACGCCTGTCCCCAAACTCCCCGAGTCCCGTGTTTGGCCGAAGTCACCTCCACCTTCAAGGTGTGTGTGTGGGGGGGGGATAGATGGCCCTGCCTTGCTGTGTTCAGCCAGGCTTGGGCCTCAGTTTCCTCACCTGAGAAGTGCGCAGCACAGACCCCGATTCTCAGGCAGGGGTAGAATGGGGTTAGTCTGTGGGGGTGTATCCTGGCCCAGCCCCCCCCAACTGCCCACTCACAAGCTTAGAACGCAAATCAACTTTTTATTTCAAACGCAAATCAACTTATTCCAAACGTTGCGATTCTGAGGTGGGGGGTGGGCACGAGGGCCCTTGGTTGGACATGGAAGAGAAAGGAAGAAAGGTCAGTCCCAGCCTCAGTGCCGGAACAGATTCTGGGGGACCCCCCCACCTCCGACTGTGAGGCTGGCGCCTGAGCGCCTCTGCACGGCTCAGCCCCGGGGCCACCTCAGGTCCGGGGAGCCTGGGGACCCCCCCCCC